AAAGTCTCCAAATTAAATTAGCCACAAATGTAACGACTGATATTTGTTCAGATCTATGAAGTGTTCTTGTGCAATCTGTAATTTACCATTTTTCCAAAAAGCAAACACTGTAGCCACATAAAGGACTTTGAACCCATGACCTCAACAGCTGTCAAAAACATAAGGTAACACAAAATTTTACAGAATTCAAATAAATTCTCAATGCTTTTGGAAAAAGACAGACCTGACAGAACCAGCCCTTGTGTGGGGCAGCGGTGTGCCTCTGGCCCTCTATATGGTCTCGTACCTGATTCTGCTGACGGCTGAGGCGGCCGTGTGGGAGCAGGGCTGCCGGTGGGCGGGTCCGGCGAGTGGGGGCGGGTCAGGGGTTTCGAAAGGTCCATGTCACAGCTCTGAGGGGACATCTCCTCCGAAGGGGATGGAGCTTCCGGGGGCGGGGTTAGCGTGTCTGGGGGAGGGGCCGGGACGTCAGGGGGCGGGGTCTGCTCTACCACAGGCGGGGCCTGCCCTAAGAGGGCCTTCAGTTGCTCCTCAGGGGGCGGAGTCAGCATCTGAGGCAGCGGCTGGACCAGGTCGTCATGCGCTCTCTTCTCAGGAACCTAGAGAGCAAGGTTATAATGGGCTCATCCAGAGAATCCTGAAAGGATTCTAATTCAAGGCACTGCAATTAAGGGTCTTGGACTGACCTCATGACCACATGTTAAATAACCCAGTCTTACTTTCTTCACTTGTTTGCACTAAAGCAGGGATTCTCCAACCCTGGTCCTAGGGGATCGTTGTCCCTCCTTGGGCTGCTCTCCTGCTGAGCCCTTAATCCGTCTGCTAATCGACTGATGGAATTGATCTGCTTGCTAGTTCAGACTTCCCGGCTCTCAGTCCCAAAATACTTTAGCTTTAGCTCGTCCAACAACATCAGCGTACAAAAAAAATTCATTCAGTCAACCTCCCCTCCCCAATAATCTGTCCATTCCTGAACAGAAAGCTCACTGTATGACAAACGGGTTGGTAGATTAATGGGAAAAGCAGTCCCCACCACTTTGTTTCCTCCTTCAATTCATAAGAGCTCGCACACCTGAGTTCCGAAACTGGAACTGGCACAGGGGGACTAATATTACAACCCCCGTAGAGTTTTTTTTAAGACCTGAAAGAAAACGAAAAAAAACACCCACCCAATATAGGAAATGAAACCATTTTGCCTGCTGTTAAGAACTTAGCTGGACCAAAACCCAGAAGACGCAGCAGGTCTCCTGGGACCAGGGCTGGGAACACAGCTTCAGATTAGTAAGAGAAAACGCGGTCAGCTTTCTCTAAATGTCACTTCTTGCTCCGAGCCGCACAGTTGTCAGTGTCAGAGTGAAATGTTATTTAATGTTAACGGGCTCACTTAGAGACAGACAGGAATGGCTACTGCTCACATTCACGTTATGACTCCTGAAAAAAACGGGCACCAGAACACCAAATTCTGAAAACGTGAACTGAAAAGCAACACCTTTAACATCCTGTTTTTAAGACTCTAGAGCTCTGGGCAAAAAACAGTTCAGTGGTTATAAAAAGACTGGTTTTTACATGATCAACCGAAAAATAATGCTATATACATCTAAGCCATTTAGGGCAATTCGTGTTTAGATGTCATGAACTAAATGGAACTAAAGTATGAATACAATATAAAAAAACAAACAGGTTCATGGGGCAATTAGCTTCAATACGGAAGATTAAAAATCACTTTTAAACTGTGTGGTCAACGGACAAGTTAAGGTAAAAAACTGCTACCTTTCCACTGGGCTCTGGGCTTTTCTTCGGCTTCTTCTTCGATGCAAAGATTTGATCGTATTCCTCCGTCCACTCCAAGAGTCTCTTGCTGGGTTTCCTAAGGCGTTTGCTTTCTGAATGTGCTGTGAATCACAAGTCAGGTTGGAAACAGCATTTACAGGCCAGCAGTGCACCATCAAAGTCCGGATTACGTTTTTTTAAAGAAGCTGCAACCAATCGACTATTCGTCGACTACTGGGATTTTCCCAGTGTAACGTTTTTTTTAATTATTTTGCAATCAAGCGAAACAAGTTGCACCTTCATAAAAAGACACACCAGACAACCTGCTCATACGCCGTTACTGCCAGCAAAAAAGCTGCCGAGCGCAAAAGAGACACTTCGGCTACCGACGCAGGAACAGGCACCGAGTCTGATCTGGCTGAGCGGTCGTAGGCTGCCGCTGAGCACACCTCAAGCCTGCATCTTGGAAAGGATCGGGTTTCTCTCCCTTACCTGGCACCGAGACCTCTTTCTCCTCGCTAGCGCTGAGGGGCGCAGTTTTAGTGTGTGTGTGAGTGCCTGCCGGCCTGTCCCCTCCTTTCTTTGGTTGGCTGGGCCTGGGCGGGTC